ATTGAAGTTGAGGAAGAGATGATGCAAAACCAGTACCTCAGCTACCTCAAAGGATGAGGAAAAGCAAAAGTTAAGTTTGGCCATATTAAAAAAATAGGGATGTCCTTATCCCTGGGAAATCTGTTTTTCATACTTTTCACAGAATGGCTGAGATCATCTTGTCCAACTCCCCCCCCCAAGCACAGCCACCTAGACCCAGGTGCCCAGGACCGTGTCCAGATGGTTTCAGAGTATCTCCAAGGATGGAGACTCCACAACCTCTCTGGGAACCTGTGGCAGTGCTCAGTCACTCTCACTGTAAAAAATTGTTTCCTGATATTCAGACAGAGCATCCTGTGTTTCAATTTGTGCCCATCACCTCTGGTCCTGTAACTGGGCACTAATGAAAACAGCCTGGCTCCAACCCATCTTCTTTACACCCTCTCTTCAGATATTTGTACACATGATGAGATCCCCCCCAAGCCTTCTCTTTGCCAGGCTGAACAGTCCCAGCTCTCTCAGCCTCTCCTCACAGAAGAGATGCTCCAGTCCCTTCATCACCTTCGTGGCCCTTTGCTGAACTCTTTTCAGTAGCTCCGTAAATGCTTTGTACTGGGGAGCCCAGAACTGGACACATTACTCCAGGTGTGGCCTCACCAGTGCCGAGTAGAGGGAAAGGATCGCCTTCACCCACCTGCCCCCAATGCAGCCTAAGATAGTTAGCCTTCCTTGCTGCAAGGGCACACTGCTGGCTCATGGTCAACTTGGTGTCTGCCAGAACTCCCAGGTCCTTTTCTGCCAAGCTGCTCTCCAGCTGGGTGATCCTCAGCATGGACTCATGTATGGGGTTGCTCCTCCCCAAGTGCAGAACTTCACACTTCCCTCTGTTGAGCTTTGCAAAGTTCCTGTCAGCCCGTTTCTCCAGCCTGCTTAAGTCCCTCTAAATGGCAGCACGACCCTCTGGCATGACAGCCATACCTCCCAGTTTGGTGTCATCAGCAAACTTGCTGAGGGCACACTCTGTCCCATCATCCAGATCAGCAATGAAGATGTTAAAGAGGACTACACACAGTACTGACCCCTGGGATACACTGCTAGTTACTGCCATCAAACTATACTTGGTGCCACTGGTCACCACCGTTGGGGCTGGCCATTCAGACAGTTTTCAGTCCACCCCACTGTCTGCTTATCCATCCCATACATCAACAGCTTGTCTATGAGGGTTAGCTTGTCTACAGGGTTAGGGCTGAGCAAAAGAGCACCTAGAGGCTCACTGGAGTGGTGCTGGAATTAGGCAGCCAAAGGCAAGCTGGAGCAAAGAGATCAGTGCTGAGGAGTAGTTTTTGGTCTGGGCCAGAGGTGGGGGACTTAGTCCAAGCCTGAGCCAGAAATCAGGTTAGCATTTGCCCCATCATCCTAATCATTAATGAAGATGTTGAAAAGTACTGGACCCAGTATTGACCTCTGGGGTGCACCACTGGTTAATGGCCTGCAGCTAGTCTTCAGGCCATTTTGAAATTATGCTCTAAGGTATGGCAGAATAAAATCTTATTCAGCAGGGACATACATTCTGCTGTCCCTCTGAAAGAAGGGCAATGAAGAAAAAAAACCTCAAAAATTTGCAAGAAATTTCACTGGCTCATTATCCCTTGAAGCATCCATCGGCACTAGATGATCTTCCTGCTTGCCCCTGAATAGGATCTACTCGTTAACTGCTCTAGGCCAGGCTTCTCATTGGGGCTACCTAAGGCAAATAGTTATTTTACAGTTATAGTTACTTCATCTAGTATCAAAGGTACTAGATCTGAGACCAGGAAAAAGTAAGAAAGGGGAGAGGAAAAAAAAAACAAACCAGGAGGGAGAATAAGCCTTAGAAACCATGGTAAGGAAGTTTGAGAGTGGAAAGAAAACTACAGCGTAGCAGATGGGGCACTAGGACTGACTGGGAAGGAGTCAGGGCAGAAACACAGATTTGAGGACATAGGCTGTTTGTCTAACAATGTATCCGCAATAGCTTATTATAATTCATTCCAAGACAGAGGTTACATTAAAATTACACAGGAACATCATGCCGATCACAGCGGATTAGTATAAAGCAGCTTGTTGAATAAAAATTTTATATCATCATTTTCAGCATCGCACAAAACCCTGCCACTAACCACCCACATCCTTTCTGTGGTTTCCACGTGTGGCCATCACAACTTCCTCAAAAACTGGCTGTAGGAGGCTGGAGTTTCCACATTATGCTTACATCCTTTGCAGATTAGAAATAAATTGCTGTATTTTTAAACTTCATTAAAAAAAAATCTCAAACAGATGCTTCATTCAAGAATGAACGCATCTGAATCAGGTTGACCTAAGACGCATAAAGCCAGCTTCACAACTGATTTATTCAAAGGTCTGAAGGGATTACAGTGCCGTAGTAACCAAAATCTACAAACCAGGGGAACCAACATTTGGAAGAAGAATATGTGCCTTTCGAGTCAACAAGAAAAGAATAATGAAGTACTATATATTTGGGAAGAGAGGGCATAACATGATTCCTTTCCTCCAGATGCTGACATACATATCTGAAGCATTACATCATTACATCACCACCATCTGGCTTCCTGATCACCTTCAGCTTCACACGCATCAGAATAACAGAAGAAATGGTAACTTCAAAATCCAGCATGTTACATTTCTATTTCCTATTTTCATGTCCTAAACTGGGATATATTTGAGCCCTGAAATACTCTCAAAATTATTTGTATGTGCTCTTTATTTCACAGCCATAAGCTTAGTTTTCAGTATTCACTTGATGGCTTAATTCCAACCCTACAGACAAACAATCTTACAGATTTGACATTGAAGATACATTGCTTTATTTTCCATATTCAATAACTTATTTCACTAATATGCTTTCACTTCTTTCTGTTTTCAAAAAAAGGGCTTGAATGTGTGTGAACAATAACATAGGGCATTATGTTTAAAAATGAAGAGACCACCACAATGAATAGATCATTTTCTGTGCTGCCCTATGCTGCGACAAGAACTGTGTTTGTGCATAGTTGTAATGCAAAACAAATCTGGTCCATGACTAGAATTTTTACAACTAGTTATATTATCAGAGGGTAAAAATAGTATTATTCCCCTAAAGTGTCTTAGTCTCAATATAAGCGGTAGACAGATTAAAGAAGGGGAAGAATACAAGTAACAGTAAGACAATAAGAAATACTTGACATACTAGTGCTGCAACATGATCCTGCAGTTAACTGTTATAACACCTTGCTACAATTGCAAGGCAAAGCCCCATTTCTTGGGACTGCTTCTCTCATACTGGGGCTTACCTAATGTTACAGCAAGCTGAAGAGATCAAAGCAGCAAAGTGAACTTCCATTTCATCATTTTACTAAAGGTATTTCTCTCTGCAGCAGGTCAGAAGAGAACCAGTAGATATCCACACCAGGACTGCATGCTCAGCAGTCAGAAATAGAGGGTACAGCTGTACTAAAACAGTCCTAAGCTGAGCTAACAACAAACTTTATCCTCAGAACATCAGCAAGCTCACCAAAAGCACCTGACTCGAAGGGCTACAAAGTCTAATACGCCCAGACAGAGGCTTAGAACTCCAAACATTTAACTTCAGGAGTCTATTAGAATCACTGATAGGAGGCAGTCCATGGTAATATGACACAACGGACTTAATATCTTATGCATTTTTTTAATTGAAGTTCCATATGCTAACCAACACTCATTCTGTAGATAAAAAACAGAAGGGAGGATATGAAAACACATGGAGATGAAAGAGAGAAAATTATGTTTTCTATTTGTGCCACAGCCATTGTTAATCTATTTGCAATCAAGCAAGGTTTGGTGGCCATTTGCTTTGTTGGGCATGCAGGGGCAAGGAGCTGATGGCGGGGAGAAGAAAGAGGCATGGACTTAAGTTTTACACAAAACAATCACAAGAGCAGAAAATTACTTGGTTTTGGCTATTTATACTCCTCTAGCAGACAGCCTGAAAATTTGCTGTCAAGATGCATGCTGAGCATTTTAAGAAGAATGTTAAGGTATTTAAGAAAAAGCAGTAAAACAGTTCTAAACTTTCATTGTAAAATACAGACTGCTTATGCTCAGCAAACATTATCCTTATTGTTTTGAAGTCACCAAGGTACATTTTTTCCCACTTCAGGCTTGCCTGAGGTTTCTCCTCTACAGTGCCTATTTTAGAAAAACAACCCAAGCGGTGGTTTGCAGTAGCATCAGACATGATGAAGATTCAAAGTTTTCTCAACAATGTGAAGCTGTATATTCTTCATCCCAGCTTGTTTTTTCATCAAGGAGATTTACAGCTTGTTCCATCCCTCCTACTCTAGTTTCAAAAGGAAATATATATAGAAAATGTAATTGTTAAACTGAATGGCAATTTGTGCTCTCTTAGTACATTATTCACCTCTTTCCTGTAAAGAAAATGAATTTATAATTAGGATTTGTACTTATCTGGATCATTAGACCACTGTCTTACTAGGATATTCTCCCCACATTATATCAAGACAGCATTCAAATTCTTAAAAAAAAAATAATCCCATTACTACAGTTTATTTTCAATACTGCAAGTGAACTTATTTTAAGGATACTACTGCCTTTTAACAGTACCGAATACTCCATTACTTTCCACAGTTGTGATTTTTTTTTTTTTTTTAAACTAGTGAATGGAAATAGATTGGCCTACTCCAACAAAAAATGGAAATATTTTGTTCCATAGAAACAGAACAAAAGAACTTATAGCTCAGGACATTTCCTTTTCAGCTAAGGCATTTTACCTGCTGAAATTAAGTATTTGCCAAGAACTTAAAGATTTCGATAAATCTGCAAAAACAAACAATAAAATTCAGCCTTTAAAGGCACCTTGGACTATCAGGAAAATCTCATAAGCAAATGCACAGGTTCCTGGAAAGGGCAGGGGTGGGAGGAGCATAGCACACACCAAAAGCATTCTTTCTACATAGTCACATACAGGTGGAAAGAAGAAGCATCACCTTGGTCAGCAAATGAGAAGGCTTTCCTGCAATGTTTCTCAGAAGGAGGGAGGTTTCCCTGTCCAAATAGGAGTGCTTGTGCAGAAAGAAAGAGAAAGAACATTAAGTCAAAAGAAGTCAGTATAGTAACTTTATAGTGTCTTGATTACAGAAGATAAAGTAGAGTTTAAGGAAAAAAACCCTACATCATCACTTCATTTCCCACCCATAAAAAACGTGAACATTCCCAAACACTATGAGCCTAACACACTAGTATAAAAGCAGTTGTGCTAATAGAGAACACTGTTTTAATCTTCCCGTGTACAAAATGTCACACAATAGAATTAAGAAAATATTTGCTTACCTGCCACTGGTTTCTCTTCTGCAAGAGACAACTTATTTTTAAAGACGTTTAGAACTACAGAAGTAAGAAAACATGCACTTACAGCAGCTTTTCAAAATCCTATCCAGTCTTCCAAAACCGAACATTCTAATTTCATTACGCAAACATAAAGCCACTAAAAATTGGTCATCTTGGAGACAAGGAACTAGTTTCATCCTTTCTACACTGGCTGCTGCTTCCACAGTTAAAGAAAAAAAAGTGTTACCATAGTAATAATCCAAACCTGACTTACAGTTAATTTTTTTTCTTTCTTTTTTAAAGGACTTAAGTCTCTCTTCTGTTATACAGTCCAAATTATATAAGCCAAGAAGTTAGAAACAAATCCCCATATTTCTTTTGGAAAAGAAATTAGCAGAAAATATGTTTTAATCTATCTAAAAAGGGGAAGCAAAATCAGTAGCAACCAGTAGAGAAGAACTTCTCAAAAGGCAAAAATCAGTTAATGACAGTTAACAGTGTGATTATCTTCTCTAGCATCTGCTACAGAGGAACAACAAAACCATCAGCCCACAGGAATTTGCAGAACCACAGAGTCACAAGTCTGTTAAGGAAATTAGGCTAATACTGCGGCACTTAAGAGTATTAAGTACATCTCCTGTGTATCACCACTGTACTGCAAATTTTGTCCCATGTGGCTGCAGCTGCCTCAGCTTTATTTGTGTTAATCGGTCCAATGCTACATAGAACAAGGCATGACAACTGAGCAGCCTACTATACTCCTGTTTAATAATTAGCAGCACAGCATCCCTGTCTCTTCTTAAGAGCCACAATAAGGTATAGTCTCCTGAAAAAAAATTAAGAGACCATGTCTACAACTTCATGCAAGGCAATATCAAATATTTTGGTGCATACAGTTCCTGCAAGCAGAGTTTACTTGATTTGACTGCCACATGCTGGGATGAGTAATCAAGGTTCTTTAGCAGGCTTCAGACGTTACAACTCAGAAAAGACTCTACACGGCATCTGAAGTAAAATCTAGGCTCCAGTCCAAGCTCTATCTGGTACTTAGCCACTAATACAGACACAGGTTATGCTACAAACTGAATGAAGATTTTTCTGCCTCCAGGTTAATTACTGGCTGTGTCTACATCGTATGTTTTAGAAGCACAGCAGTGCTGCCTAGTGACAAATTTTTCACACCTCAAGCACATACTGATCTGAGCTTTGTGATGCAGGAACTGGTATAATTAAAAGGTCTCATGCTTTGTTTATAGTCATACAGAATTCTCAGATTAGACTTCCTGACATAATCATATCATCGGGTCCAATGAAATAATACATTCTGCTTTTTCTACACACACAGGATTTCCAGCAACTTCAATGATACTTAAGAAAGGCTATCATTTAAAGAACAGTTCGTTTACTCAGCCTGAGCAAGCCTGAGGCAATGCTAATATTGCTGGTGAATAATACAGCTTTGCTTAACTTGAAGGCAGACTGATTCTCTTTTTATGATTTCTGCTAGGTGCATTTTTACTCTCAATTGCATCCTTTCCTACACAGAAGCTCTAACTTCACACACAGTCATTTTAGAATGGTCTCATTACAACATATTACTACAGAACTTCTGGAATAAATTGGTTGGCTCAATGCAGAGCTCAAAAATATACATAAAAATCCAAAGACAAGTTCAAGAAAGTTCTTTAAAAGAGTTTCTTGATAGAGTTCTTCTCAGACATCACAAATTCTAGTTAATATGGATCACTTTTTCTTGATGAATGGAGCACTGCCGTAGAAAGAACATTACTGTGTACATTTGTAGCCTTTTCCTTGGGGTTTAGCCACCTTCTCTTCTTAACCTACCAGTCAACAATAGTGTCAGTATAAAGAAGGGATATTGAATTGCTCCTTAAAGGAAATATTATTTGCTGGAGAATATTTCTGCTACAGAGAAGCTCAAGGCAGATCATTTAACCTCCTTCCTATCATTGGTCATTTTGGCTGTTGCCATCTTGCATTTAAGTACAGTGGAGCTTTTCTCCACTAAGGAACTTTTATTTTTTCCAGAAATGGGAACACCATATATTTCTTACAAAATAATAACCACTGAGGACTTTGCTAATACTGCTTTCCAGACCTGCAGCAAAATATGAAAATATGAAATAACCCCAGGAATGTTATTCTGGAAATCAAGAATGACGGTATTTCATGGGAACAGGTGTTGGCCAGTAAAATGTGAAATAACAGTGTGACATCAACTACCCATGTGAGTTTTAGCTGGAGAGACATGTCTAGAACACAAAGACAAGAGTTCTTTGCCAGACACCTTTTGTCCATGGCCCCTTCCTACTGTGTAACACATTCTGCAGTACTGCAGATACCCACAAGTTAGAATGAGCACAAATAGCAAAGTAACAGGAAAACCCAAGTTCTAGGAATTACAGATTGGCTGAACAACAACTATGTGCACATAACATTTTTAAAATATTTGACCTGCACAAACTACTAGAGAAAGAAAAAAAAAGTAAGTTTCATTTTAGAACAACAATGTGTTACTCTCACAATCCATAGCTTTAAAGCATTTAGTCCATTTCAAAGGAAAGACTTCAGCTTAAACATCAAGCTTTGAGGGGAACAGACCAGGCTCCTGGGAACAGTCCATTGTTCAGGGAAAGATAAATATTTTGTTATTTTTTGTCTTAAGATACTACAATCACATTGGACCACAGAGAGGATCTAAGTAGCCCACTCTTCCTCTCTACTTCAGGAGATCAAATATGTATCCAAGCTCTGACAATATAAATGCTTGATCTTTCCAAATAAATTAACCTACTTTTCTGCCCCAAGTATTTTCTCTGACTAAAAATAACACCAATGAAGTCTAGGATGAACAAACAAAAAACATCAATTACTCCTAGGTAGTTCTAGTCTTCCACCATGAAAAGCATCTGTTCTCCTCCTACTTGCTCCCATCACAAAAAGAGAAGTCATGCCCTGGCAACAGAGGTCTACCCCCCAGTGCATCATCATAAGTTCATTTAGGATATAAAAACAATTCCAGCTACACAAAGTAGTATGTCCCGTCCCCCTCACACCTCCCTGCAATGCCAATAATCTTTCTATCCTGTTGCAGTAAGCTGATTGCTTCCACAGTACAAGGCCTTAATTTCTCATAATGGGTATTTTCAGTTTTAAATTTTTTAAATCTTCATGCAACCAGAATATTAAATTATCCTTGGAAGGTAAAAGTAGTTTGAAACATCATAGAAGTATCAAAATTTGACAAAAGCTTCAGAGAAGGCAGAAACATGCAATTCTTTATAATAGGCATGAAATTATATACGAGCTAGGTTGCAACAGTGTCGGAAGGCTATTTAATCGCTGCATTCACTAAAATACTCAGTGAAGCTTATTCAACATGAGTAACACTGAGTCAAAGACTTGATGCCTAATTTATTTACCAAATTCTTTAAAGATTGCATATTTCTAGGCCAGCACTCAACTAAGGGTGCAAACCCAAATAGCATATAACATGTGCACTGTTCAGAGCTGGCTAAAAAGCCTTCTAGTAGAAGAATTATAAAGCTGTATTTTTTTATGTACAGGCTAGCTTTCTCAATAAAGTACAGCCATGAATTACAGCCATACCTTTTCATACGTTTTTGTATAAAATGACTGATGCAAATGCAGTGCAACTGAAAAAGCTTCACAAAGTTATTTCCACTAGAGGTAGAAAAAATTCACTTAATAGGCATTAGCAGATGTTAAAATTTTCTACCAAAAGGGGATCTACAAAATCACTCTGTCAATAGAAGAATTTTAAAACCCACACTTATATCTTGATATTTTAAATGGTGAATACAGAGCCAGACTCCACTTAGGATTCCCAGTTAATCTAACACCAACCACTACTCAGGCAGAACTCAAAATACCATAGCCTAGTGATCTATGTCAAGGGGTGACAAAGTGACAGTGCACAAAAAGTACAGAAACATTTTTACATTAAAAGATGGACTATGGTGATCAAAATTTCAGAACTAACAAAAAAAAGCATATAAATAAGCCTACTAATGTCTCCATAACAAACTTCAGCTGGTACGGATAATCACAACACAGAAAATTAGATTTGGGTAAAATTAACATTAAAATTTAAAACTTGTAGATGCTGTTAAAACAAAAAATTTTAAATAGTTTTCTCATGTAGTTCATTCAGGAAAGACAGCTAGCCTTGATGTTTATAAAAACATGGAATATAGTCATGTTCCAAATTATGTTTTGGACTTCAAAGGTTTCCTATATCCTTTTTTTGAAGATAGGAATGTAACATCCACTATTTTCAGGCCTAAATACCAGAAGTTCATGGACAGCTGTTGAATATTGCATTTCACAGTGTTTTCAGAGAACTCAACACAATACTCCTCTTACATACAAGTAGTTGCTTATGCCAGAATGTTTTTTCAATGCTGAAATATCTTCATACCAATCACCAACTCTACATCTACAAAACATGTTTGCTAAACATAATAGAACAGATGGACTACCAGGAAAATGAAAATACCTTTCAAATACTCAGAATATAATTGATTACACTATACTAAATGACAAGTAACCCCCTACATGGCCAAAAGCTCAAGATTTTCTCCCCTATTATCCCCGCCAGTTCCTTTATGAAAAGTTCAGTGGGTTGTTCTAATTCTTAAGGTTTGAAGGTCTTAGGATAGAAGCCAGTTTGAAAAAAACCCACAAAAAACCCCCAAGAAATGAAACACACAAAAGCAATCATTGAAATTATTTCTAAACCAACACTGAATTACTAACACTGAACATATTAGAATTATTTTTTTGCAGACAGTAACTCATGGATATATTTTAAGAAGTAAAGATCCTTTTAGAAGAGGTGATAAACTGAGCTGTCTAGCTAGGTTCTGAAAGATGCAGTCTGTGTAGCCCATCTTGCAACTGTAGCAGGCCATTCCTTCACAGGTAACATGCTATATACATTGCCTCATTTCTTCAATTCTACTTGCACATTTTTGCAAAACCTTGACAATCAGATTCATATCAAACACTGATCCATGTTCTTTTTACACACCTGACTACCACTCAGTACAGAAGTGGGACAAATTTAGAAAGATTCAATCTCATTGCTAAGATACAGTTGTATTGAATTCCTCTAATTTTAAGGTAAGGGCTCGGAATACATACATGCAGGTTTAAAAACAGTACAATACAAAATGAAAGGTGCCAAATATATTCTTTACACTGTCAATTAACAAATAATGAATAAAACCTGGGTGGCACGTGTAAGAAGACGACAACGTGGCAATCTTCTAAGGTATTTTAATCTTATTGTTCTAATGCCTAAGTATGTTACAACAGAAAAAACTCCTTTCTGGTTAAATATTATCTGTAGGTTCAAAGACATTATTAACTCAAGGTATGTACAACAAAATAACTTACCTCAGTACATTAAAAAAAAACAATACAAAGTACACTGAGGACTTGTGTACATAAATACCTTGCCACATTTCATGCAAAACTCTTCAACAATTTAACATTAACATACAAACCTAATTAAACCAGCTGGTGGCACTCTTGTGCTACTATTCCAGATTTAATGACCATTGAGAAACGCTACAAAAATCTTTTTTATAAAGCCTCCTTCTGTCTCTAAGAAACTAACTGAAATGAGGCAAACTGAGTAAGCAGTGTCCAAGAGAGCTGTTTCCTTGCAAAACTTTGTTGAAAAGATAACTACTATAGCTTTCATTTCAGCTATATCAGTATGTTGAATTTTTTAGACTCCAGCTTAAAGTATTAGAATCCACTATTTTCAAGAGAACTCAAGAATTAAAAACTGTTTAAACATATTTTTTGTAATTTCATCCCGAAGTGGGACAAAGATAGGAAAGGAGACCTGAAATTTTTCTTTGCAAACTCTGAGATTATGTATTTATATGGGATGTATAAGAGCACACAATATAAAATGATGACCATCTAATTAAAAAAAATCCATTTTCTGCTTTCCTTTGTAATGGGGGTGGTTTAGCCTGGAGAAGATGAGGCTGAGGGGAGACCTTACCACGCGCTACAACTACCTGAAAGGGGGTTGTGGTGAGGTGGGTGTCAGTCTCTTCTCCCAAGTAACAAGCCATAGGACAAGAAGAAATGGCCTCAAGTTGCGCCAGGGGAGGTTTAGACTGGATATTAGGAAAAATTTCTTCACCAGAACGGTTGTCAAGCATTGGAACAGGCTGCCCAGGGAAGTGGTTGAGTCACCATCCTTGGGGGTATTTAAAAGTCATGTAGATGTGGTGCTTAGGGACATGGTTTAGTAGTAGACCTGGCAGTGTTAGGTTAACAGTTGGACTCGATAATCTTAAAAGGTCTTTTCCAACCTAAATGACTCTGATTCTGTGACTGCCAAGAGCAATCATGCTTCAGAAAAAGCATTAAGTGTATTTTAAGTAGTGTTGCCCAATTAATAACTAGACAATAGGCAGTGATAAAGAGGAATAAAAAACTTGACTGTAATGATATACATGGATACCCTACTGCACTGTTGGGATACTAATGAATTAAACTCAAATCACTAATGTGTCAATTTGCCCTCAGCATAAAAATCACAACTATTGACATAAACATAAGCCTTATAAACCTGTCATAACTTACAAGGGTCATTCCAGCTTCCTCTTCTGGAAAGTTAATGGCATGCTTGGACTGATTGATGGAATGTCCCATAGAAACAGTAAAAATGTAGGGAAACAAAAGGAGAAGAGGGGAAAGGGAGGAAGGAGAAAGAAAGGCTTTATTATCGCTCAGAAGAGTGAAGAAAGAAGCAGTGATGGCAATTAACTTAAGCAAAGACAGCAAAACTGGATTAAGATGTTGCAGTGGCCCTCATCCAAATTTCTTATGGACAAATGATCAATTATTTGAAGACAAGAGGAGACTCAGGCTCTCTTCTATGGGAAGGGAGGAGATAGGATACAAGCATGTTTTCAACCACAGTAAGAGGGTAGAGAGTAATCTCAGATAAAAACACTAGAGTAAAACATCTGCAGGCACACAACACACTTTTTTTACCTTTGGAACAAATCAGAAAACAAACCCAGGTAACATTCTCTTTTCACAACCACTTGCTCACTAAACCAACAAGTGAGTTAAATTCTCTAAACACTACAAATAGAAAAAAACATACTGTCACTTTACACAAGCTTATCTGCTTCCCATGTCAGTTCCTCCATACCAGTAAATAACATAATACACTCTGGTGACAATTACTAAGCACATATAAGAAGAATATCCATTTAGTAGAGGTTTATCTTATTTCCAGTTGGCCATACTATTTTAGACCTCTGAGTACCCTCACACTGTAATTCATTTACAAAGAAATGAAGAGGAATACTTCTGTATTTCCACAGT